ACCATTTTTTGTAGCCATAATTTCAATTAATTAGAAGTTAATAAGTTCAAGAAGAAAGCTCTTATCTCTGACCAAATGGTGAGAACATATGATTAAAAAATAAGCAAAAACGCATATCACTACCGTCTTAAATTGCAAATAAATCCCCTCCCATTGCCCGTAGACATTTGCCAGTAAAACCAAATACGGCACAGTATAGTATATCAATTACAACTGAACAGCTGGCTTTGCTAAAACCTGTCTTAAACAAATAAATTTTATCAAAATCTGATCCATATAAGCCAGCAAAAATAAGCCCAGAATCATTCTTTCGAAAACCTCTCAAACCTCCAAAACCTTCCTCTGCCGATTAAGACTGCAAAAAATCAATAATTTTTAAAAATAATGTCTAAAAATCACCGATCTCGAAGAAGGTGAAATTATTGACTTTGATCATTCAACGGACCAAATAATCGCTGATTTGCTGAAAGTAAGTAAAATTTCTATTTTCCGCCACCGTCCAAAAATAAAAAAAATTTTGGTTAGCTTTATACACTCTTTTAAAATTTCCCCCAACAAATGTGCGCCTTTAATCCAGAGGACAATCTCTACGCTAATGCAGCAAAAGTTATATAAATTGCGCATTTTGATTGTCAACTAATGACATCGAATAAAATGTTCTCGCTAATAAAGTAGCTCCCTGCATAATTCAACCTGAAAATATCGAAACTACAACAACCGAGGTTACTCTTTACCAACGGCATTATAGTACAAAAATTAATGCGACAATGTGTCATATAAAACACTAATCTATCCGATGGTTTTGTGACTCTTTCGATTCAAGCGGAATAGACGCTCGCAAAAATATAATCACGACTGATATACCTAATTCCCCTGATAATTATGAGCACGCCGCCGAACGGGGATATGTTAACTTAGGATACTCGAAACAAATTCCTTTTCGCTTTGACGAAAAAACTCAGAAATACAAATAGAGGCAAAGTTGATGGCGAAAACCACAACGAATGCAGCGATCGCTCTTGGATCCATTTGGATACTTTCGAATCGTACATGGAAAATATTTCCTTAACTGTCAATTCAAAAAATGGCACTGTTATTAACTGGCATAATATTCCATTGCCTTGTCCTGTCTATGAAAATGGATGCGACACAACATCACTCGACCCTTTTGCATATACTTGGGACGAGCCCCAAAACTGCAATTTTTCGGTTCTCAAAAAAGTCGAAGCAAAAATGATTCGAAATGAAGAGAATTATTATATTGTAAAAGATACTTTTACTAAAATATCCAACCACCATACGCGAGGTAGAGACACTCAACAATTTATGCTAAAAATCCTAAATAAACTACAACCTTTATGTGGACACCCAAAAATAGTCTACCCGACTCAATACGAATCATTGTTCATAGCATACCAGAACGGTTTCAATATGGATACCAGTTTACAAATAAACACGAGTGCTATTACAGAAATTATTCATTCAGAACCAAATTTGACTTATGTGAAATACACTAAAAATGAAAATTATCCCTTTGCACCGGGACAAATAGACAACGAGGCTCATCTAGGATCAAAACTAGATTATATTGTTTTTTCGAAGCTTTTACATGCTTCGAACTGCCGAATGGGCACTTTTAACGAATCAATGTGAGTTAAAACGCTCCAAGATTCTCAACACTTTAATGCTCTCTATCGAAAGCTCGCGATTAGCCGGCTATATTTTGACCCGGAAAAGGTCTAAGTTTTTAGAGACCAATGGCAATGTTGCCTGGCTCTACCACTGTCCAAAATTCTTCTCCATTACAATTAAAGGATGCATGTTATAATCGGACACCAATTATGTATCGCGAAAAAACTCATTTCGTCGATCCGATCACTTTACAAACTTTTAAATCGGCAGATCAACAAGACTGCTCCGATAAGCATTTAAATCTTTATCATCTAGATCTTGATAACGATAATTCTTGGATCGAACTCACACCCTCTATTAGTAGAGTAAAAGGTCTGCATATTTTTAAGCCGAAAGAAATTAAACGGCAAGTAAAACACTCTCTTCCATCTAGCCATGATGCTTCTATTTACACTTATGCACAAAAGCAAAAACTTTGGAGCATGATTACTGATCACTCTGAAATGAAGGGTATTTTACAAAAAGTATCATAAACTTTTCTTAATGCGAGAAGTCAATACGGATCTACGCAAAACATATACTGAGACTATCTTATCTCGCCTGATTTTTGGAAGAACGAGTACCCTCGTATCTTTGGTACAATACAGTACTATTTAGAATGATGCGTAATAATATTCGCCTCTTTCCTTTTCATCAAGTTTATACTCGACGCTCTTGTATTTGTAATTTAAGTTTTCACATACACAAACTAGCCGGCCGAACTCTTCATTTCGGAAAAATTATGTTAGCCGCCTCTTACAATATACTTTTCACTTCCATAGTGACTTCAAAATTCGCTCAAAATGAAAACGATCAAAATATTGGGCATGATCATAGGCCTCAGGCACCTCAACAAGAGGATTCTGTAAATGAAAATCAGGATAAAATTTATCCTAGACTCCAACAAGTCGATTACAATAATCGACCCGCTGTACCGGTGTAATTTATTTTATTTGTTAAGATACACCCACTGATCTTCTTCAGACTCCACTTGAAGAAGACTTGCGTGATTTCGAAAACCGTCTGTCTTTAAATGACCCTATGGAAATACCATTCAAAATCATCAACCCGATTAATCAGCCAAAATTGAATACCAATTTTACAATCCCAAAAGTGAAACAATCTAATGGCATTCAAAAAAGAGAAGCTATTATCCGACCTTTCAAAATTCTCCCTTCTTCTTCAACTCGGCAACAGCTAGAATCTGAAACTATAATAGTTCACCAATCAGCAAATTCTCTAGAAATTGAAACAAAAATCGCGATCCAAGTCAAAAAGGAACAAAACCTCAACCACAGAAATCCGCCAAAGTTTGATACCAGTTCAAATTATGCGCTCTCTCCCTTTATTAACCAATTTAAGATAAAAACCTATCACCCTTACCAAAACGGTAACGGTGCCTACAGTCTGGTTAATCCACAACTCCCCCATCAACACATTTGTGTTCCAGCAGCCTTTATAACCACCCAAATGCGAACTCCAATCTTCGACAACACCTTCCAAGTTGCCGCCAAAATTGTTGTCGATGTTGACAAATAGTTACTATCATGTTGCTGAGCCGGGTGATTTGTTGATTCAACCGGCTTTTGCTTGCCACTGTGTATTCACTAAAGAATGCTTCGAGGATGGACGTAGAGTGTGGTCTCTAGTGACAGACTCCTACACGGATCAAGTGCAAAAGAATTATATAAACGACTTAAGTCGTATCAACCAAATGCACAAAACCATAACAGTTCTCCGGTAAAAAAAAGGATCTCCAAGGTGGAAAGGAGAAGGAAACTATTAGTTTAAAAACCAAGGTGGAAGGAAACTATTAGTTTCAAGATTATCTGTTAACCTCCATACCTTTATTTTTTAACTTTGTATTCGTTTATATCCAACTGTGATTTAGCCGCCGCCACCCTACAAAGTATGCTTCTAAAATTATAGTCCAGTATTGCCGATAAGTATATTTGCCAATCCAAATTTGAAAAAATGTACTTGATGTTAAATTTCTTAAAAGTACCCAGCTGTGATTTGGCCGCCGCCGCAACTCTACAAATCACTGCTCTGCTCTACATGCACATTTTCTACAAGACGCAATAATAGGACGTGACTACACTACAAGCAGCCATTCATCGACCGACTACACTACAAGTCATTTTACGAGCAAACTGTCAAAATCAGACACAAAAAAACTTTACGCAAACTCTATTAAAACATTTTGATGTTTTGTACATTACATATTGCTTTTAAATTTTTCTATCAACTGGTATCACCGTTTAACAATCACCCTATAAGATGGTTGGATGTTCTGAAATGAAATCAGAAACACTTGCTAGCTTGAAGTTATGTGTTTGCTCGGTTGATAAAACATCACCAAAACCAAACATTACGATATATGTTGTCTCTTTCTGATTGGTTTAACCAACCGATGGAATGTTGAATATATGAAAATGTACGGTATATAAGCCAAGCGAAAATATACCAAATCATCACAATCACAATCACTATCATTATCACTATCACAATCAATCTACATCCAAGAACCGATGTTCTATATTTGATGTGTGTCCACTATATGTGAAATAATAAACTTATTTACGAGTGAAAGAAACTTTGTCTGTTGAATAAGAATAGAAAAGTCTTAACAACATTCAGAAAGACCCCTTATTCTAACTAGCTGCGATTTGGTCGATCGCCATAAGTTAAGTCACACCATTTCCTTGCAGCTCAACAACATACTCAAAGAAAAAAGCGTGAGCCAAAGTTCCCTCCTACTCTTTCTATTTACTCACTTTTGAAGTGTATTGATTTTTTGTCTCAAGGTATAAATGCTACCAGCTGAGATTTTTCATCCAACTTTGGGATTAATTATTTTGCATCCGAACAATTTTGCAACCGAAAACTTCATTAGGTATGCTATTCGCCAAATAATGGCTGTTCCATAATAGAGACCATTTTCAGTGTGCCTTACAATTTTCTTTGCCGACTTACGCGGACTTTTCTTTGAAAAATTTGTTTTGAGCTTAAAAAATCTGGAAAATTTCATTTATAGCGCTTTTGTTTAAAGTCAAATCTTTGAAAAAACACAGCTTAGACAAAAACGATGTTACTACGAGGTAATTAAGAGCCTGAATGATAGTTTTAATGGCCAAATGAGTACAAATAGCTTTTTGACCTGAAGGTAAAATTCTAACTGTGGCTTTTATTTGACCAATCGAAGATGCTCGCACGTTTAAAGTGTGTTTTTTAAGAGAATACAAATATGGATCTGGATGTAAACTGGGATTAGAATAATGGATCTAGATCTTTCTGATTTTGTCAGGTAAAAAACTAAACTTTCATCAGAGGAAACATCCACACCCTGGTATTGTACGATCCATTGGGATTAGGAACAATCAGAACTTTTGACTAATAGCCAGCGTAATAACTCAGTGAAAATCGCATTTATAGAAGTGTCAGCCACTTAAGTTATGAGAACACCATCTAAAGGAAGATATTAAATTTGAAAAAAAAAATTGAAGGGAAAAATTTGAAGATGTAACAAAAATTAGTCATGACATTTTCGTACATGAAAAAATGCAAAGTTTTTGTATGACTAATATTTTTCCATTTATAGAAATTGTCCGCTGAGAATTTTGGTCATCCAGGCAATTGGTATAACAGAAAAATTATTCCACTTGGCAGCTTTTAGTACAACTAAAAATAAAGCACTCAAATCGGGATGTTTCATAACAGGAGTGCATCACGATTTGAAAATTGCTACTTGAATTTAAATATCTATCTACAAAATTATACAATTTCTATTATCGCTTCCATTTTGGCTTTGATTCGAACCTCTCCTTCTGCAGGCACTAGGGCGCCTTGTCGTTCTTTGGTTCTGTTCCCCCCTTTGTACCATTGCTGAATGATCATCATCAGATCTGTTCTGCGCAACATTTTCCGCTTCCTGCAACGTACGTGCAAGTTGCTCATCATTTTTGCATTGTTCGCTCTTATCTAACTGCAGTGCAAGCTCAAAATCTTCGTCGACCGGTTCGTTACTGCTAATTTTACTACTTGTATTGTTATCACGTTCGGGAGTTCTTGCTCGAAGGTGTGATGTTTTACGGAAGAAAGAATTGACGAATTCATTGTCTCCTGAGACTGATGATAAAGCTTCCCAAACCACTGAATCTTCTTTCACGAATCCCTGATCGGTTACCAGTTGGTACACAATTCCTTCTCTTTTCGTGATGGTCGAAAAATGGTTATTTCTGAATAGAACCGCAACTTCCGATTCCTTAAGCGCAGCTGTTAGTTCGAACAAGCCATGATATGTCAACTGATTTGAAGTATCTTCTAGAAAATCTTTCACGACAAAACTTTCTGGACTGTTTTCATCTAAAGCCACTTCAACTGCTTTGTTGTAAGTTTTGTTTTCTAGAACGGAATAAAGGTTTTTATCCTGAGGATCGACAAGCCAGCCATGATACAGTTTAATCCCTAACAAATCAAATATGACAATTTCCGGAGTCAACTCGTAACTGGTCACTGATGAGAAACCAATGTTGACGTCGATTCCCGACTGGAGTTTGCAGATCACTGAGAATGCGTCTGATATGTTGTGTTCGTAGTTCAGTTTGTCTTCATCTGATGAGAACTCTTTTGGGACTCGGTTAATCAAATGGTGTCCTAAACAGCATTCAGTTTAGATAAAACGACCAACTAAAAGACTGAATTAGGAGGTTGAAAATAATAAATTATACAACAGTGCAGCAAAAATAAGTAAGCTCTCAAACATTCAAAAGCCTTATTGTATCAAAGCGCCAAATAGGAACCTAAGACTCGTTTTCAAACAGTTTAGTTTTATTTGGTAACTATATGCCCTATAATAACCGGATCTCTTGGCCGAATGACAACTTTAGTATAATTCATATAATAATCTACAACTGTTTATAATACCAGTTTTAATTAATCAAGAATGTCGAAAAAAATGGACTGACCTATATGTTTCATCAGACTAGTAGTATTCGTATACTCTTCCGACTCATGCAGATGCAACAGTCTCCTCAGAAGCAACACATTCATAATTGCAATCAGAGGACAGGGTCCATTCTCGTTCTGAGTCACAATTGGAGTCTCAAACTCATTGAATTTAATCCACTTCGTGTAATACAAGGAATTATCCACATTTCCCGCTTCTAGAGATATTTCGATAGCCCGCGATGAGTTGACAGTATCGGAATCGTTGTTATCGATATTGGAGGGCGAAGGGTCATCGTCTGTTGGGCGTTGGGGCGGTTCAACTTCCGGATGGGAGTAACTCTTTTCGCTTTCAGGAGCTGGAGTTGGGCGTTCGTCACTACATTCTGGTTGATCAGACATTTATCTAAAATATTATTTAAGCTCCTAATCAAATTTTTCTACCCAAGCACACCTAAAAGGCAAATTTAATTCTCGTTTTAATATAGCATGCAAAACATCTGTTTTTCTTCATGATAAAACACAGCTCGTGCATGAATATTTCCAAAACACATTAAGTTAGAACTGCATAACAAAGAGTTGTTTTTGCTAGCTTCATCAATTTACAAACATTCGAAAAAATCCTTCTTGCTGCATATAAAAAAATATATATAAAATCAGAAAGAGGAATCAGAGATCAAAACTAAAAAGAACATAAACAAATTGAACGTTTTTTGGAAATTTTTAATGTAGTCCGAATCACGACTGAAAGGGCTTTAATATGATTTATCACTCAACCCAGTCCGATGATTATTTGTGGTATCTGATTTTGCGGGGAAAACAAAAAGAAAAAATACTTAAAAAACACCCGAATACAAAGTTCCTCCCCATTTTTCAAATGGTCGGAACAAAAAGTCCTGGAATGCACAAAAGAAAAAGACAAATAACAATGAAAAAATAAGGAGACGAAACCTCGCTGTCTTAAAATAATCTTTACCTTCTAGGAATCTTTATCTCTTATCTGAGAATTAGCTGTATCTTCTGAAATTAAAAACAGCCTAAATATCTTTCCATAAAACTGAAACAATGGAGCAGACCCCTAAAACCAAAGTAATTGAATTAACAGCAAACCATTCTTACAACGAAAACAAAAAATGTTCAAAAAAACGTTAGCCAAATTTTGTAAATGTTATCAATTTCCACAAACATTCAAATACCAAGCTCTTTCTTCGCACAAAACAAACATTTTGAAATATTTTCGAACATTTAGAAATCCGAAATCTTTTTAAAAGACAAAAATTAACATTCTCACCAGGAAAAAAGATTGAACACAAGCCGTAGCTGAACAAATTGTAAACATAGCCATCAAACAGTTGGTAAAAGTCTATGAACACAAGTAAACAGAAAAAAAGGAACGGACTTGTTTTTCGAAAACATGCCTTTTACTCAACCTTCTTGATGCTTCTTGAAATCCAAAAAATATATATCAAAAAACGACCAACACATTTTTCAAATTATGGTACCTAAGTTTGATATCAAACAGATTACTTAAGAGAATGTCTCTTACTTTTCTACAATTTGAGCAACGATTCCAATCTTTCTACAGAGGCAAAGCTGAGGTTTGCACCACTTGCGATGCAAAAATTCCCCTTTGAACGATGTTACCCTTGAAAAAAAAATTTAAAAAAATGAAAAAAAAAATCGACCGTTATTTTATGTTTGATATTGTTGCAGCGCTTTCAGGAGGTCCCATTGGTTTGAATTTAAGCAATAAAAAAATTGGCGCTGTGATTTTATCGTTTTTGTAAATTCAACCGGAAAAATGTAGGATACAATATATTTATTGAATAAGCCGACGGAATTAAACCGGCAGCCAGTAAACTGAAATTGAATCGGAAAATTTCGCCAAAATAAAATTGATAAAAAACATGCACTATCCATACAGTACCCACGAGTCCCAAAAATGTACTGAAGGGAAGGTGGTATATGCATTTCGCAAACTGAACCGAGAGCTTAATCAACAGCAATGAAGCAGAAAAACCATCAGCCAAAAAATAGTTGAATCGAAATTCTATAATTATACATGCTACTATCAAAATATGAAAAAAAAAATATTGAAAAAAACATACCCAGACAATAATATGCAAAAATAGCATCGAAAAAAATCTATAAAGCAAAAATCAAGCAGAAACACTTCAAGCATAAAAAATTTCAAAAGATTTGAAACTACAAAAAAATTTAAAATTCGCCTCTCCCTGAACAAACACACACTTTCACTGAAAATTTTTTGCTAATCAAACGGTGCAATAGGAGGCCACTAAGCCGATGTAATAAAATACGAAACCTATTCAGCAGAAAAAAAAGCGGAAAAACAAAATCGAGTTGGAGAAATAACTACCAACGTAAAAAGCAAACTTCGAAAAGGACGAATATTTAAATTAATTAACTCAAACACGCTTAATATTTGCAACCGAGAGGAGTAGGATTCACAAAGAGGTGAACCAAGAGTCCTGTGAACCAAGTTATATATGAGAAAAATGTCTCTAATCGATTGCAATACCCTTGCTTACCGTAAGAGTAATCAGTTTTATTCGCAAAGAAAGAATGAAGCTACCCATTTTTATATATTTCTTTCATAAAATATTTTGATATTGAATTAATGTTAAATCAAAAAGGATTGCATAAAAAGTCCAAGAATCAACTGCGGACCTTTAGACACAGTGAAGAGCGGAGCTCCTCGCCACTTGCGATTCATTACAATTATAACATGGCAAGAAAGCCAAGAGAAATTGAGACAAAAGCAATTGAATTGAAAAAATATTTGAAAAATATCGGAGAACAATACATCTACAATCATTTCAATACTTGTCTCAAATGAACTTCAATTTGAGAAAAATATGTCCTAGAACACAATTGCCAGTGCTACTTTATCATTCAAATAAAACTTACTGAGTTGTTACTTAGCCCACAATACCTGGCTATCGACCCCTAGCTTAGTCCAAAATACCTGCCTGAGCCGACAAAAAACTGAGCTATTGGGTTAGTAAAATGAATATTCGATCTTCAAAGGCCGCAGTACGAAGCACTAAGGCCGCTATAACAATGGCCGAACCCATTCAAGTCGAACGAACCTTATAAGCGAAAACATGTATAAACATCCGCACTTGGTGAATTTGCAAAATACAGGAACTAGCGATAATCTTAGAAGTTTTTTGAAGTTATTTCCTGCCTTGAATCAATTCGCTAATTTAAGCATTTATTTAGGCAGATCAGTCAAAATTTATTTAAGGAAACGTTGAAACTTTTGAAATAATTCAAACTATTTCCAAGTGAATACATTCGAAAAAACTCAACTTTATTCTCAGCTAGCTATTCAACTATATAACATAGTTATAGTATAGTGAGAATCAATTCGCAAGAAATTGATTACTCTCTAAGCAGGCTAATCAAATGATGATTTTCGAAAATATTTAAGTTAATTTAAAGCAGGAATCGGATCGAGAAAAACTCAAGTTTATTTAATCAAGCCAATCAAGCATTGAAATTTTGTAAAGCATGAATCGGACAGCAAAAAAGTAAAGCAAGGCTTGAGCAATAGATTTTGGAACAATCAATTTGTTTCCATAACTTGAATCGATTCGCGAAAACTTTCAAGTTTTTTCCAGTAAGCAATTGAGCAATAACAAAAATGATTTAGGTTGTTTTCATAACTTGAATCGATTCCCGACAGCTGAATCGGTTCAGCAGAAGACTTATCTATTTCAACTATGCAAAGAGGTTAAAAATGATCTCATGGCTCGATTCAATTTGCAGGCTATTGAGCAATAAACTTTTATATCGTTTCATTTTTTTTTCAGCCTGAATCGATTCAATAAAAATTAAAAATTTTTGAAGCAAGCTCTTGAGCAACAAACAGTTGAAATATTTCAAGTTGTTCTTGAAGGTTGATTTTTTTGGGAAAAACTTGGGTTTCTTCAAGCAGCTTTTATTTTTATAGCTTAAATCTATTAGCACAAAACTAATGCTTTATTTCAAGCCAGCTCATGCGCAGAAAAAATCTTTGAAATATTGAAGTTGTTTATTGTTTGAATCGATTCGCAAAAAGTATTTAAATTTTCAAAAAAAAAGGATGGAGCGATAAAAAAAGTTGAATTATTTCAAGTTGCTTCATAACATGAATTAGTCAACGAAAATTTGAAGTTCAAGCAACCTTATGAGCGATAAAACTTTGAAATAACTGATTTTTAGCTTGACTCGATATGCGAAAAGTTGAAGTTGTTTGAGCAAAATATTGAGCAGTAACACTTTGCTGATGGTGAAACTCAGGTGTTAATAGTTTGAATCAAATAACAAAACATTTAGTTTTTCTTCAGTCAAATTTTGAAACTTCTGAATTTGTTTCCATAGCTTAAGACGATTCGTAAAAAATTTACGATTTTTCTAGAAAATTGTATTTTTTTTAAAACAGCAATAGAAAAAGAATTTTCGTGGGAGCTATAAACTTCTTCAGGCAACCTATTGAGGGATAACACTTTACAACTTTTCAAACTTTTTGATAGCTTAAATCTATTCGTGAAAACTATAGGCTTTTTTCATGCAAACAACTGAACAATTAAATTTTTCAAGCAAATTATTCAACAAAAAATGACTCATTTTCTATGAGGGCTTCGATGAGGAAGCGCGAGCACTAGTTATATGGTCAAATTTTTTAAAATTTATTCTAATTTAAAAAAAATGTTTTTCAAAACTTAAGGGCAATCTGTTTAGACATCTGAAAAATTTTCTAAATCTAAGTTTTGAAAAAATTTTGAAATCATGAAAACGTGAAATCTCGGTAATCAAAAAGTTTTTAGCAACCACATTTGGGGGCCAAACTGGCGAGACCTGAGACAAACCTGACAGCGTCCAACTAGAGTTGGGAATTTCGAATATTGTTAGGTTTTTATACTTAAGTTGTGTTGAAACTACTGAAAAATTTTTTTATAAACGTCATATCTCGAAAACAAACAAATTGAGCAATCATCAGTCATATTTGGAACACAGTGGTAGAACCTTTTTGTGTACCCTGATTGCACACCACCATAGGGGGTTGAGATTTGTAGGTTCGGTTAGATTTTTTTCAATCCAAGTTTTTTAAAAAAGCAACTTAAAAAATCTTAACAAACGGCATATCTTGGAAATTTGTTCTCATGGCTCAATTCAAATTGCAGGCTATTGAGCAAAAACCTTTTATATCACTTCATTTTTTCAGCCTGAGTCGATTCACTAAAAACTAAAAAATACTGAAAAAAATATATAAACGTCATATCTCGAAAATGAACAGAATTGAGATGTCATCAGTCATATTTGGAATACAGAGGTACAACCTTATTGTGTACCCTGATTGCAAACCACCATAGGGGGTTGAGATTTGTAGGTTCGGTTAGATTTTTTCAATCTAAGTTTTTTAAAAAGCAATTTAAAAAACCTTAAAAAACGACATATCTTGGAAATTTGTTCATGGCTCAATTCAAATTGCAGGCTATTGAGCAAAAAACTTTTATATCACTTCATTTTTTCAGCCTGAGTCGATTCACTAACAATTTAAAAAATACTGAAAAAAATATATAAACATCATATCTCGAAAATGAACAGAATTGAGATGTATGTCATCAGTCATATTTGGAACACAGAGGTACAACCTTATTGTGTACCTTGACAGCACGCCACCACAGGGGGTTGAGATTTGTAGATTCGGTTAGATTTTTTCAATCTAAGTTTTTTAAAAAGCAACTAAAAAATCTTAAGAAACGACATATCTTGCAAATTTGTTCTCATGGCTCAATTCAATTTGCAGGCTATTGAGCAAAAAACTTTTATATCATTTCATTTTTTCAGCCTGAATCAATTCACTAACAATTAAAAAATAATGAAAAAAATATATAAACGTCATATCTCGAAAATAAACAGAATTGAGCTGTCATCAGTCATATTTGGAACACAGAGGTACAACCTTATTGTGTACCTTGACAGCACGCCACCATAGGGGGTTGAGATTTCTAGATTCGGTTAATTTTTTTCTTTCCAAGTTTTTTTTAAAAAGCAACTTAAAAAATCTTATAAAACGGCATATCTTGGAAAATTTGCGCAGCCATAATTGGATGCATGACTTGAAACCGCTGAGAGTATCCTGACAGTGTCCCACTGTAGGATTTGGAATTTCAAATTTTGTAAATTTAGTCAGCCCTATCTTTTGTGAAAACTGTTGAAACACTCGTAAAAAAAACGTCATGTCTTCGAATCTGAAAGGATTTTAGCAATGCTATTTATTTATAGACACAATTTGAAACTCCTAAGTTAACCCTGATACCACGTCGCTGTAGGGTTAAAAACTTCAAATTTTGGCGTTAGTCATTCAAATCTCGAAAACATTTTTGGCTTTGACTTAAATACAGACCTTAAGATGAAATTCATCCAGACTTCGGATTTTAAAAAATCTTCGCTATAACATTGTCTGTGACGCCTTTTGTTAACCATTGACCCCTATGAAAATCATTCAAACATTGCGTCCATAGATTTTTTGATAGATAATTTCTGTGTCTTTCAGTTAAAATTGAGAAGGCTTACGACAGCAGAGAAACCCATGCAGTGGAAAATAACCTAACAAAAAATACGTAGACAACCAGGGTATCGATAATTCAAATTGTCATTTACAAGTTCGCAAGAGCAATTCAATATGAAAAGCACTCTGTCAAGATAGCAAGCAGTTAAATTTGAAATTTCCAGAAAATGAGCACAAATGTATCTGTTAGACAAATCCTTAACCTGAAAAACAAGTCTATGAACTGATTTGATGACGCTGGGTAATAGCACGCGTAAAACACAAGCGAACATGACAAACACTAGAGAGAAGCAGCTCTATAAAATGCAATGAGAAAAAGTAAAAAAAAAACCTCGAATTAAAAAAAACTCGGTTGCGTCTCAGATTAGATCTGGGACATATTGCGACCTAGATATAATGATTCTCACGCACTAGCCACGGACGCTTAATAAATCACAAACACTAGCCTCAAATAAAGCAGAGAACAGATGCTATGAAATTTCTACTGCTACAGATCGTGATTATAGCAAAAGTGCCACCAAATAAGTGAAAACTTTTAATGAACACTTCTATTTGAGACTTAGGTTGCGATAAAAAAAAGAAGGACCGTACTAATACACTACGCTGATTGCAAAATAAATTAAGAAAACAAAATTAATTTGCAAGAAAGCGCATTAATTGTGCCAAAAATTAGACCTTTCAAGCTGATGCTTAGCAATTTGATGCAGTAAAGTCAGTAGAGGGATAAAGTTTATATAATACAACATAATAAAATACATCCTTGCGTTTTTGTCAAAATTAATATAAGGAACAAATTTAGTACCGATTTATAAGATACTTCTTTTTTAGTAATCATAACCGCTGGTAATCAGATCTGCTCATTCCGACCATTTTCAGCATTCAAAACCTTGTTTAAATTTTGATTGAATCAATAATATGCAATACTTTTCTTATCATTTAATTACAATAAAGCCAGCCATTTCAAAAGTTCAAAATTATAACCAACAAGGCATTCTGAACAAGTACTTCTTGAAGCAATGGTTGTTCAACTGGCTTTTTGTTCAGCTCATTTCACGACGCGTCAAATCCAAAAAGACCGATCAAATTAACGCCGCATGAAACAATTTGGCTCGGTTTACGATAGCCACGTTTACGAATCATGTAAGCGGCTTAGTTTGTATTTATCAATCAACTAGACATATATCTGTTTATAGCTCGAGCGGCTTAGTTTTACGAAACATATAAGCGGCTTGGTTTGCTTCATCAATCAACTAGACATACATCTGTTTATTGCTTATGACTTTATTTTATTATTTTTATCAAACTAGAGTAAACAAGTGGTTGACCGCGTCATCGTGTGACTGTTTCTCAAACTTTCATTTGTGGTTATACTTTATATCGATTCAATGTCGAAAAAACAATCTGGCAATGCTATCCGCGATGACGGAAACTGTCTGCCGGCGTTTATTGTAGTCAGACATGGAGGTAAGATCAGCTCCTAATTTAGGCCCAGGAATAATTAACCTCATTTTTAGTCTTCAAACTTCGGTGTGTTTCACATCTACATATTTACTTAATCAACTACTTCGAACATCAATTTAGAAGTCGGGAATACAAATAAAAGTAGCTTTTTTGAAAAAAAAAACAGTTATTACATTTTGTTGCCTCAGATGATGAGAAGTCGATTCTGAACGCAGACTGCAGAGTTGAATTGCTTTTGGATGCTGTGCGACAAAGATGCAGAATAGACAGAGACGGTAACAAGCAACATATTTTTTAGTTCGCTATTATTTCCACATTCTTCTAATTTTTCACTGCAAAAAGGTTTTAATTTGGTAAACCTCAATCGCGTTTCAAGCTTGGGCAAGATCAAAAAACTTCAAACAATAAAAACGAACGCGCAAAATGAACGAAACTTGAGAAAATACTTACAATGCTTTCACAAGTTTTCCAAGATTCATTTGAGTAAACTATTTCGTTGCTGCCGGTTCGGCGATTGATTATTCTTCGTAGGCGACAACTCGCCTCAAGCGAAAAAGCGTCGCAATTAGAAGATGCGATAACCGTCTCAAGACATCTCATGGGCGTTTGATTGCTGTGCATTGCGAAACTACTATTATTTGAAAGGCTCATATACGCATTTTTCGACAACGAATGGCACTTTTTCAAATGCTTTCAAATGTCGTTCCCAAGAAACTGACTTCTCATGTTTTCTGCCAATTAGAATACATCCGGTTTTAGAGTACACCATTAGAGTAAACCAAAAACTCATTTTTCAAACGTGTTCTTAACATATGTAACAGGATAAAAAAGCACCAAGAACTGAGTCGCACATAATTTGAGACCTGCAGAACTAAGCTGAGCTAACGTCCGGAACAAAAACTAGCGGTTTTTTACCCTTACTGTTGAAAATTGCAAACCTTGTGAACTCATTTTGAAATAGAAGTGAAATTAAACCAAAACTTTTTTCGTTTATCGCGTGTTAATTCTGCTTAGCGGACATCGACTTTGTTGATGAAGAGGGGAAACTGCAGTCGATGGGGGACAATGCAAGTGCAAAGAAGTACGTGCACCAAGTGTTACAAGACAGAGCCACCTTCATCCCCTTAGCGATAGACAGTGAGTTCAACTCAATTCATACATAGCCAACTATGTAACTAACAGTTTGAAAAGAGTTATCAATGCAAGAAGGCAGAAAAAAAATGAATTGTAGAAAAAAAATGAAATAAAATCAACCCAATTTGAGATAAATGAACCAATAAGTAAAATCTTTATTTTGCTTGGATTCAAATCCATTTTCAAAAATAGAGGTCGACCGAAACCTTCACATTTTTGCTGTTCAATTATGTAGTTTGGTTTTCTTTTAACAAAGGAAATGAAGTGAACTTTAAAAGAAATCAGAAGTCAAACCTCGAAAAATCAAAATTGAGCGTCAATTTTTTCCTGAAAAAAATCAACAAAACCTAAATAAGAGTACTAATTACGTTCATTACTCCTAATCATGCGAAAAAAAACAATAGCCCAAAAATTGACCTTACCCGCACTTACTGATGCTTAAAACAATTTACATATCAAAACACGTTAAAACAAAAATCACAAAATGTTCAGAAGTTTTTCAATTATTTAAGGTTCCGGCTAATGATAGGGTTCTAGAATTAATATGGGCGAGATATAGCTTCGCATCACTTGCGACCAAACACTAATGAAAATGTTTCATAAATAAGAAGTTATGAAAATGTTTTGATATATTCTTGGTTCTACGAATAACAAAAAGCTTGAAAAAACAGCCGATAGAGACAACTTTTTTTTATAATCACAGTATACCCACTTAATTGCTTACTTTTTACACCAATCGATACAAAATTTGAAAAAAAAATACTTTATTTTTTATTACTTTGCAAACTAGGCTTTGCTGTCCCATATCGGAAAAAATTGAGACTCTTTCCCATTATGACCCCCAACCCACACATATACATAAATCCTATAGCGGAAAGGCTATATTTCAGTTACTAGGCTGGGTGGCTATAATGGGAAAAGCCACAACTATTCATCTACTCTTTTTCAGAATTTGGTCCAGCAGATGACGACAAGAAATTTATTCCATTGCTCAGTTCAAAAACAATGCAAGTCGAATACCCAACAATTTATGGTAAATAAAATATACATATACTACTTACTATCGTGTTCGACGTTAAACGGATACCATTACTCCAAGAGATTAAGAAGACAGCTGGATCTGTGAAAAGATAAATTTTAAGAAGTTACGACGCTTATATGAGAGCTTAAAGAGTTTCAAAACAATCTACATCAATTCTGGGATCTCTTTAACTATCCCCCATGGTAACTAGCTACGAATCTCCCCCAAAAGAGAAATAATTTAAAGGCTAAGCACCTGGCATTTTAAACCTCGTAACGAATCTGAATGACTCGATCCTTCTTTTTGCTCCAAAAACTTGGTATAACTATGAAAGAACGGTCCCGCCGTGATTAAGCCTGTAGTATTACATTAACTTCTCCTGAATTTTTGGAGCTAAGTTTCGGATGTTACACTATTGACTCGCTGAAAAAACGGCCATTTGTTGCCCTTCTAGTTGTTTGAACTTTTGAGCCCTCTATACATCTTATTCAAAAGGACCTGGATATTTTTGGGAAGGCTCTATCATTGTCGTAGAAAAAAAAACTTGGATTAAATGCATTGAAATTAGGTCGATATAATTTTGAATGTTTTTGTTATTAAAATTGCCAAAAAAAACTTGAAAAATTTTTACTAGTTTAAACAAAAACTTATTTCAAATGTGATTATCATGAGACAAAAATATGGTCTTCGTATTGTCTTTGTCCTGATGTCAAATTTACCTAGAACCACTTTTTAATTATTGATTTACATTTCATCGCCACTCTTTTCACAGAGACTCAGTTTCAGATTGATCTTTAACATTTAGGAAATTTGCAATCACTAGCGCAGACGAAAGGTACAAAGCGAGTGGGAGCCAAGTCAAAGAAATTGTCAGTAGCAGGAAGGAGCTCAAGATTGAAATGAAAACGCGAACTTATATACTATTGTTGGAGGCGTTGATATGGCCTATCCAACCTGTGCACGGACCGTCGCATGACCGAAGGGCCTAGTTTAATTGACCCCCTTTAAAAATGGAGTGAATTTATACTTTATAACAGTTGAAGCGGAGCTTCGCACTACTGAAGAAGAAACACTTTAATTAGTGAGTAGTCAATGCCTTAGTACAACAAAAAAAATTACAACAAAGGCTCTTCCGTTTAGTTACGGTAACTGCATAAGCTAGATAGGGCCAGACCAGCGTTATAAAATTCCATGAAGTCATATATCAGCATTAAATGCATCATCCTAATGTTAATTTATCATAGCCGTCCTTCCTCTACAATAGCGCAAATGGAATTGTCGATAAATTGAACTTTGTGCAGCGATCTGCACCCCCGGTGAATTCCCAGAAGTCCCAATATTCAAAGCTCCAAAATAAAAAATCATTCCAAAAAGTCCCAAAATTTATCTTCTCGAATTTTGATTTAATGAAATTTGAGCCAACGAACTTTCGGATTGATTGTCCGTTTTGTTCAAGCAGCATTAACTAAAGCTGCAGGATTAATCACCGGAGCCTCGCCAACGTGTTGCCAGCTTGCCACAAGAGGGTAGGACTCCACACGAAATCTACAGCCGGGCGTTTTTTAACCGAGACTCGGCTGATTTCGTTTTTTGATCAATTGAAAAGAATTGTGACTTATCAGACAGCTTTTTTTGTAAACTTTGGCACTGATTTTTCGTTTTGGGACATATGAATAAACACCGCATCCCATCATACAAAGTATAGAGCTTCTCAGAAGCGCGAAGGTTATTTCAGGTCATTTGTTTTTCATCGATTCTGGGTAGCTTTCTTGTCTTTTTTCGCTTAGTTTTTCGGATAATCGCTGCATCGTCCGCGTGACTGTTGGAGCAGCGCCACCGTGCACCCAAGAATTAGGGGGCAGCGTCAGTTGCAGCGTCATTAGTTCTTCAGCGTCATTATGCAGTTATCGCGATGTTTTGGCATGGGAGTTGAGAAATTTCACATCAAAAAAAGCGAGGCAAAACCGTGAAGCCGAGAGTCTGTTTGCATAAAATGTCAAGTCGTGCCTCATCTTCAGTTGTTGTTGAATTTATGACAAAGTTTTCTGCTTGCAACGGCCGAAGTTCCGGATTAATCTCGACACCATGGCAAACCTCGTTTATTAGGTGGGCGATTGTTTCTCTAATTTTATTGGGTCTTATGTGGGTGTAACCGCCCTTTGCACATTGTAGGGCATGTGTCACGTCCAATTTAGCACCACAAGCACACGTCCGCATCTTTAGTAAATACCATCTCTCTTTTCTTTCGGTTTGTTCTATCAGTTTTCGGTTCGTTCAATCAGGTTTGTTCTATCAGCTTGATACTAAGTCTGCCTATTTTAGGGGGTTGAGAACAGATCTCACGGAAGGGGGGGTAAATGTGTTTTTATCGACAAGGTTAGGTATTAGTTGTTCTTTGATAATATTTTCACACGTTTCTAAGTTTTCCATATCGTTAGGCGTTGTTTCGGTTAGAAATGAAATTTTTCTATGGATTCATTTAATATAAGAACCATATATGTTTTTTGGGGGGAGGGTTTTACCAATTTCGTATTAGTTTTCTCAAAACTCTCATTCTGTTGGAACTCGAAAAGTTTTTTACATTCAGATTCTATTCCTATAGCAAAACCAAGCAATCGGGCGCCTGCTTTTATAGTGATTCCTGCATTTTCGAAGGGTTGCTCATTTTCACTGAGCTTTTCATCTTTGACAATAAGTAGTTGGCTTTTGGATGCTTTGAAGTGTTAGCCAAAAAAAATACGTAGTGACGCAACTTTTGCCATGGACGGTCCGTAAATTTCTTAATTTACCAACTGCGTTACTTTGTCGAATGATGAAAGTTTCATGCGAGGTTTTATGGCTCGACCGTAGATGGTCATCGCTAGCGTACTCCCTGGGTTGTAGATGTTTTTTTAGTGTTAACGAGCAGTTTACATGGATTAGAGTACGAGTTCTTCTGTTAAAAGAGATGGCCAGCTATTTCGATGTTTTTGAAGGCCAGCTTTCGATTAAGCATCTATCAGTAAAACAGCATCAACGGAGATTTTGCTGTTTTGGTTTCTTCGCGTGTGGATTGCAATTTCAGTGCCAAACTTTTGTCCTAGGCAGAGTTAAAGATTGAACCAAGCGACATGAGTTGGTTTTTTAAGCATTTGGCTATTGTTCGTCCTATTATCTTATGCATAATTTCGCGGCGTATGCCTATGGGCCTTACTCATGGATTCTTGTCTGAGGTTTTTAATCATGCGTTATATAGTTCCGTTAGCTCTGGATTCAGTTCTTCGGTAGACAATTTTTTTGGCAATTTTAGCCATTGTTTTTGAAATCTGAAAATACGTCTCCATTCATTTGCATCAAGGCCAGATGGTGCATAAGGTCAGTGCGTTATCGTGGATGCTTTCTTGATATGTTGACTGATCAAATATTGATGAATGGAAAGGAAGAGTTTGTTCTACTGTCTTACATTTGACAATCTCATCGAGCGAAACAACCTCTTCAGATGAGTCCGTTAGTGTTGCTATTTTGTTAGTTCTTCTGTTAAAAGAGATGGCCAGCTATTTCGATGTTGTTGAAGGCCAGCTTTCGATTAAGCATCTATCAGAAAAATAGCATCAACGGAGATTTTGCTGTTTCGGTTTCTTCGGGTGTGGATTGCAATTTCAGTGCCAAATTTTTGTCCTAGGCAGAGTTATAGATTGAACCAAGCGACATGAGTTGGTTTTTTAAGCATTTGGCTATTGTTCGTCCTATTATCTTATGCAAAACTTCGCGGCGTATGCCTATGGGCCTTACTCCTGGATTCTTGTCTGAGGGTTTTAGTCATGCGTTATATAGCTCCGTTAGCTCTGGATTCAGTTCTTCGGTAGACAATTTTTTTGGCAATTTTAGTCATTGTTTTTGATATCTCAAGTGATTTTTGCTAGATATGGGCTAAAATACGTCTCCATTCAATTGCATCAAGGCCAGATGGTGCATGAGGTCAGTGCGTTATCGTGGATGCCTTCTTGATATGTTGACCTGATTAAAAATTGATGAATGGAAAGGAAGAGTTTGTTTTACTGTCTTACATTTGACAATCTCATCAAGCGAAACAACCTCTTCAGATGAGTCCGTTAGTGTTTCTATTGCGATCAATATCTTTCCCTTATTCATTATCTTGTTGAACTGTTAAGCTTCAATTTCAGTTTTCCGTCTACTTCCTTTTGTCAAGCGCATTCGTAGCGCCTTCATTTTCTATATAGATCATCCAGGTCTCCGCCCTGCCATTTCTTAAGTCGCCTTATTACTGTTTGTGATAGAGAACAATCGCTCTCGGACCCTGTTCTTCACAGTACTAATGTGGAAAGATCATTTCTGCGTGCATTGATAGTGTAACTTCCTTGTTATTTATTCGGCTGTTCAGAGTTCTATTGAGTTTTAAAAAAAGTCATAACCAACTTTATTTTCTGATAAGATCATAAAGACCGGTTTTCAGTGGACAACTTTGGTGTTTATTATCCTTGTAGTTTCTTCGGTCATATCAGTAAAATAACAGTCTATAGTTATTAAAGTTACAATTTTAGATTAGTTATTTTGTTTGAGTAAAATGAGATGATATAATTACATCAATGAAATAATCAATTTTGAGATGAAATTGTGGAGCAAGAAAAATGTTTTTACACCCGTAAAAATTGTAAAGGCAAAACTATCAAAACATTGTCAAACTGAAAATATAATTGCAAATCAACAAATGAAAACGGAAATCGAGCCATGTTTTTGTATGCGTATAGATTGGATTAGATTTCATATCAGTGAAGACTTTTCTCTTTAAGAATGATGAGATAATAACAAATTTTTGTAGTTTACTGGGCAACTTATTTCCTTTTTTTGACGTTAGATGGAACAGAAACTTTTATGTAGAAAGCTGTTAAACAGTAGTTTTCAATTATGTTTCGCTTTGTTCGTTGATTTATTCTATAATTCGCTGTCGTTAGCCTCAAGGAAATTGTAGAAGCTTGCTTTTTGTTATTACGATACTGATAAAGACATGTGACACATTTAAACTCAATTCTTTCTCATTTCCTATGAATGATTTACTTTTCCGTTATGCGGCAGAAGGTTTGAAAATTGATTTGAAACATTTGCGTTTCAAACCCCAATTCAACTGCTTTTCTAATACAAAATTATAGAAGTTGCAAATGTTCTCTACAAAAACATTTATGCATAATCTAAATGACTTAAAACCAAACAAGGTAGCAAAGCAATCACAAACAATATGGGAAGTTGTTGCCCAATAGTATCTATCGTTGCGATCTAAGTTGCGATACAATACAATTTTTAGAGAAGTAAATTTGGTCACGGTCAGGTCAGTTCACGAGCTGAATAGCGCCATACCAGATTAAGGGTTGTAAAAGCATCGAAAAAAGGGATTTATTGAAAAAGAAAAGGTGAACAAAATTTTTTTTGTGTCTCCAAGGACGCCTAGGGCCAGGTTTAAGCTGAAGGTACGTTTTTGATATTTTGTTTTCGTTGAATTGATGTAGGACCAAATGCGTAACCACATAAATTCGAGTTTGCCGAAACCTTAGCTGTATCTCCACTATAATAAGTGAAAATGAAAGTTTTCGAGAATGTGAAAATTTCCCAAAGACATAACCTTCCTCTTACGAAAAATTAAGGATCGAATATGTTAACATATTAAAATTAACAAACTCTTTTGCAAAATTTTGTACATCTTCAGGCTTAAAAATCTAACTAATTATTACAGAACGACCAAAAAAATTTACTATCAAACACAAAATTTATATGATTTATTTTTTCAAAATATTACATAACATCTATTATTCAGTAATTTTTCAAAAGTTCCCTCGGAATTGTTTCTGTGAGTTTTATTCTCTAGTTGCTAGTTTTTTAGCCTATAGTGTTCTTTAGTTTTGTTCTGGGAGCTTTGATTTTTAAATTTAAGAACTAGCTGCGTCTCTAGGAAAAATATGCGCAACCAACTTTTATCGTTTGAAACTTTTATTTAAGATTGATAGTTAATCTTCAGAAAA